AACTTTTCTTGAAAGAGTATCTCTATAGATAATACCTTAAGACTCTCCTATTTCTAATGGATCGGGTATAGTTTTGTTTAAATTAAGAATATAAATCATGTCTTTCTTTTCAATTTCATTGCTTTGCCATTCTAATTCAAATGACTTCTCCTTTAAGAACAAAAGCTTCTTATAACAGGATGAATTGTTCTTTTCTTAAATTATACAAGATTTTTGGTCATCTTACTCTTTTTTTTCTCTCTCTTTGAAGGCGTTTGGTCATCTTATTTAAAGGTACCCTATCTTTAAAGAAAAGAGAAGGAAAAAAAAAAAGAATATCTTTCAATTTATAACTGATTCTTATCTAGGATTTAGTCTCATAAAACTCTAAAAGTAGCACAATCGGAATTAGTAGAAGTCAATAATTACAAATAAAAATATCTAGATCAATTGGAATTAATCATATTTTTAAAATGGGAGGAAGGACAGGAGCATCTTTGGTTCCAAAATTTCATTTTGAAATAAAAAACAATCATTGTTAACACTAAGAAAATAAATTTGGAAAATACATATAAATGGAAGTTTGAGAGTAAAACAAAAATTACTTATATTTTCTTGCTTATAAAGCTTATTTCTTTATGTGGAAAATATTCAAATAGGAATATTTTCATGCATAAAAACGAAAGAGTCAAAAGACAATAAAACGATAGGCTTATAAGGCTTTATTTTTTTTCTCCTCTCTTTAAAATGCATGACATTCTTTTTACATTTAATTAAGAGAAATGCATGACCAATCTAATTTAGTATATAGTACAAAATTACTAATAATTAATGAATAAATTAATTTCCTTGCACCAACCCCCACTTATTGTAAAATTTTATCATCTTGCTACAAACAAAAGATTCGCAATGATGCATATATAGAATTTAGGAAAAATTCATGGGAATAATCCCACCTTTGGGTCATTCGTTTTTAATAATCCCACCTTTGGATTATTTTTCAATAACCCGACCTTTACCCCCTATTCTTTTTTATTGGTCCTATTTTACCTGAAACCGGTTGAGGAGGTAAATTTTTTTTTTTTTTTATTAATTTACACGTGTCGTTACTTAATTGGTAAAAAAAAAAAAAAAAAAAAAAAAAAAAAAAAAAAAAACCCCAAACCCAAACCCAATTCAGCCACCACCATCCCTACCACCACCCAAACCCAAACTCTAGAACCACCAGACCTAAACCCCAAAACCACCCCACCAGCCAACACCGACGCCGCTCAACCCCCTTCACCGCACCCTTTCCTCATTCCGACCACCCTTCCCTGCACTCCGTTCACTTACTCCTCCCTTTTCCGAACACCAATCCCCTACTGCAATTCGGCTGCCCTACCCACGAACTAGCCCTACCCACCTAAACCACCACCGGAATGGCCTGAAAACCGCCCCTCTCATCTTCCCAAGCACCGAAACCCTACCCTCTCCATTTCCCAAGCCCCGAAAACCCCAAAAGAGGTGGTGTTGGTGTTGAAGCTAGAGAAGGGGAGGGGACGGGATTGGGTTTCGAGGCTAGAGAAGGGGGTTTCAGGGATAAGGAAGAGGAGGGGGAGGGAGGGGGTTGATTTCGGGGTGGTTGGGGATGGTGGTTACGGAGGACAAGGAAGGGAAGTAGGTGGTTCGATGTGTGGCAGGTGGCTGCTTTGCTTTTGATTGATTATGCAGGTGGTTGCGAGGGGTGTTTAAAGGTGGTGGTCAGGTGGTTGCTGGGCAGTTTGGGCTGGTAGGTGCGGCAGGGGAGAAGTGATGATGGTGGTTGGTTTGTGGCTACCGATCGGTGGTGAGGAGATTAAGGGGCTGCAGCCTGCGGTTGTTGCATCTAATTGGTGGTAATTGGCTCGATCTGGGTGGCTGAAAGTGGAGCAGTTTTTTTTTTTTTTTTTTTTTGTTTCTTAATTTTTTTTTTTAACTTTTTTTGGACCAATGACAGGCTGCCACGTGTCATGTAACCTGTTATAACAGGTTACATGACCGGTTGGGACCAATAAAAAAGAATGGGAGGTAAAGGTCGGATTATTAAAAAATAATCTAAAGGTGGGATTATTAAAAACGAATGGTCTAAAGGTGGGATTATTCCCATGAATTTTTCCTAGAATTTACAATAATTTATATGAAATATATAGTACGGATAAAGCAAATTGTTTCCATTAAAAAATAGTTCGAAAGGTTAGAAGAAACCTTAAATATACAAACAAAAATGCTATTGTTCCAATTATTTATGAGCATCTTTTAATTATATAATTATTTATTTTATATCCTTGACATTAATAGATTTTGGTGGGGTTACAAAATCTTTAGAAATCTTAGAAAGCCAAAATCTAGTGAAAATGTCGACAAAATAAGGGCACTGATATTAATATACTATATAAGAAATAATAGCAACAAGCACATTTAAAAATATAAAAATAAATGTATATAGTGTTTTTTGCATGATAAGACTTACGTATCAAAATGTACTAAGGTATTAAATTTCTAATATCTGCCAATTGACAGACTTCGCCTAAAAATGGTCAGTTCTATATTTAATGTTCTACTACACAATCTTACTTTAAATGCTCTTACTGCATGATGCATTCATACATATTAACATATATCAAGGCATTCAAACAGCTTTCTATAAATATCTTTTTGGCGTTCTATACATAGAATATACTATCTCATTCAAAATGTATTAGTCTTTTCAAATTATACAAATATATAATTTATATCTATTAGAGAAAAGCACACATACAAATATATAAGTAGTATATAATTCACTCCTTCGCTTTATATAAAAATAATTGTCGCATTAATGATTGGTATTTTATGATTGAAAAAGGTTATCAACTTTTTAAAATTAGTAATACGTTGTGATTGGTTTTTACAAAATACTCTTATCATGATTGACTAATGGATAGAGAGTGTGTATAAAAAGTCAAATTACTGAATAACTCTATATGTTTTTAATGATAAAAGGTTAGAATAATGTGACTACTATTACATAAATGAAGGTATCCTTAGTTGTCACACTAACCTTTTAACTTTTATTTCAATATAGGATCGAGATGACGCAGAATTAGAGAGATCTCCATTTTTAAAAAGGGCTTTATATCACACTCAAGAAACCACACCAAGAGAAACGAAAGAAGAGTGAAGTCCTCTCCTAGCTTGATTCTATTTATTAAACAGATTAATCAGGGATTTACAATAATAGGAGATTGGATTATGTCCTCATGCTATAAGCCAATGACTCAGTACTCTTAATATCATTATCACCACCTAAGAAAGATTGAATGCTATCAATTGTATTTGAAAATGAAGATATGTACTAATAGATAATTTAGCAAGTAAGAGATTGAAATAGAATCTTACTGTATGGATACTATCAATTATTACTCTAGATTGATGAATGTAGAAGCTACAATAATGCAAATATCACTGCACCCTTTAATTAGATTAGCTAGCTCATATGAGGAGTACACGTCTTATCTTACTAGTCATAGGTCTCGAGTTTGATCCCTTAATTAGCATTGATATATAGGGAGAACTTTTCTGTGATGGACACTCATCTGTTAAAAACGGGTCTTGGCCGTACTTGTAAACCAAGAGAAGGAGTCCACTTCACGAGTCCAAAGAAGGTTCCATCCTAAAACCACATGGCAATAGGTGGAGTAGCCCTTTAGCCTTATTAAGTGAATAATTCTTTCTTCTTTAACCAATGTGGAACACTTACATGTGGTGATTCTTGAGAGCTCTAACCTTTAACAAAACCCACCTTGAATCTAGAATAGCCAAAGCTCATATTGTTTTCAATTTCGATTGATCAAATTTAATCGCAAATGAAAAGAATTAAGAACAACACTTGCTTCGGTCCTAGACTAATTATAAGTGTTAATAACCCAAGTGCTTAGATCTAGCTTCATAGTAATGCGTACAAATCGAAGAATTTTGATTACACTCCCCTTCCCTCAAATATACATCAAGTAGGGTAAGAGTTTATCTTTGTAATGTTACATACCTTCATGTAATTTTATTAGATCCACATATTTAGTATAATTATACATACTTATTCATGTAAAATATTGAATTTTATGAACAGAGTTATAATATAAGCTGAAGGATATTATTGGTTGGACCTTATTATTCGTATATCTCTAACTTTATTTATTACTGTACAATGTTTTTTTTTTGACAATATTTAAGTACTATTTATATTAGTTCTTGAGAATTTTCAAGGCTCGGAAAAAAAGTTCTAGAGAATCTTCATATATAAGAGAACTAATGGCTTTAGTTGATGAACATTTTGGATTATTGTACGAGGAAGAAAAAGCGTACAACAATAAAGTGAAGTTAAATATTATATTTTTGAATAAATCAAGTGATTCACTTAATCAACCAGGTTTTTTTTTTTATTTTTTTTTTTTTTATTTTTTTTTTTAATTTCAAATCATGTTTTAATCATATTACCCATTTGATGCTCGATTATACAGATTATTTTCTCCGTTTTAATGATATCAAAGTAGTAAACGGATATGATCCACTATAGTTAGTGGACGTTCCAATTAGTGAAGAAATTAGAGCTGTGGTGTGTAAATTATTTAAATATTTAATGATTTAGGATTGAACTTGATTTTCAATTAATTTGATTATTAAATGGTCAAGTAAATTGCTGAAGTATCCAATTGAAGAGATCTCCGATCTTTTGATTTGAAATAATGTAACCAATGATTAGTTGTTGGATAAATTAAGTCAATTGAGTAGTTAAATTTTAAGTCGTTTAACCAGATCAGATATAATAATATTTTTAAAAAAAAAAAAATTATTAATCAGGATTAATTCAACTCTATTCAGATCATAAACAAACTCCAAACAATCTTAACCTTATAAGAAAATCCATCAATGAACAATTATTATTGTAAGCAAAAAATTTCATTAATTTAATAAACATCAACAATATTATTATATAAAGGTAATAAAACGACACATATACATACCTCTTGATAATTGATGATCTTGGAAAAGAGCATAACATATGTAGTGGATTATACTAAGAAAACCTCATCATCATATTACTAGAAGATCCACCAGGAGAAAATGAAGAATGATCATCTCCACTACCACTTCCACTACCACCACCACCTCTTCCACTTCCTTTCTTCTTCTTTTTATAAGGGATACCCCTAGCCTTAGCTTGACACTCCCTCACCTCCCTAAGATACACCCTTATAGCCGTACCGGCAAAAGGGTTAGTCTCCGGTGGTCCTCCATTCTCCTCATAGGCAGCACGAAGACGGCCTATGAGGGCATCAAGACTACCCCAAGCTTGTCTAAGAGGGCAAGGACATGGAGCCGGGGGTTCGGGTTGGCCATAGAACATACACCCGGGTACATGGACCTTAGTCTTACCAAATTGGTCTAAGTAACGGAGGAAGTCTAAGACATGGTGGCTTGTGCATTGAGAAAGAGGGACAGGAGGATGTTGGTTCCTTAGGTATTGACCAAAAGTGTTCCAATCTCTTCTTTTTTGTGACTCATAACGGCTAGGTGTTGGTGAAGGTGGAGGTGTTCCTTCATAGTTTTGGGGTGGAGAGGAGGATGAACCTTCCATTATTATTATTTTAGGGATAGCATATAGAAATTAGTAGTGCATCTAATTGTGAACTATGCAATATAAGATTTATATTATATATTAAGGTTATGGTGTTACATTAGATCATGTAGAAAGTGGAAAATGAAATGAAATGAAAGAAATAAACATAGTAAGTAAATAAAATTATAGAGGGGTAGAGGAACAGTGTAAAAGGGGAGAATGAGATGGATTATTATTAGTAACATCCCAAATGGAGGGACCTACTTTTCAGTGGACATGAAGTGGGGTCTAATTATTGGCAAATTTTCAAGCTATAATTTATATTCTATAGTATATAGTCTTGATGGTAGGATTTATCGAATGATTTTCTCTTATAATAATTATTATAGATTTATTTTTGGGTGGGGGGTCATTTGATGTGTGTCTTTAGTGTGATATTGTGCTTCATTTAGTCCTGTGTACAAACAAAGGCACAATTATATGGGCACTTTTGATGTAATCCTATGATGAGGGAGGATGACGTTAATGTTAAGGGGTATTAAACTTGATTAGTGAAGTAATTATATAGCGTTACACGAGGTTTCAATTAGTTCCTCGTATATAATTAGTTGATCACCTTTTTATTTGCTAGACAATTATGGGACGATGCCTCAAATCTTTATTTAAAATATAACATTTGTAGTATTTAAATATTTCTATGGTTATTTTTAAGCGCTACTTGCCTGCAATTAATCAAAACTAAAGTGATCATTCTTTAAAAAAAATTAATAAATAAAAGAAAAAAGGAAATTTCTCATTTTTTAGCCATAAAGGATTGCACATACTTAATGGTAACAAATTTTTGTTAATAAATTTTCCCTAACATGACAATATTTTTGTATTTAACCATTAATTAACTTAATTAAACAATAATTACCCTAATAATTAATAAAAAAATTAAAATCAGCATCCCAGCTACCTTAGCTTGCCCCCACCTTCGCCACCTTGATCCCTACCTCGACCACCCCCTACCGGCGTCGTACGGGTAGACACCTGATTGTGTCTCCCCCAAAACCAAACCCAATGATGAATATCTTTCACGTCATTAATTATCGAACGAGGTGAAATGTGAAAGAGTCCCGTGATGCACTTGTATCTAATAAAATACTTCCTTTTGTTTTCGAAAATACTTCTTTTCGTATCCTATTTATGAGAAACGTCCAATCCAGTTTAGTTTAGTCCATAATCAAGGTCCAATAATTGTGTAGTTGTATGGGGCTTGAAAAGACCTTTCCAACGATACATTATAAGCCCAATTTCGAGTTATAACGAGGAAGTTATGGTCAAAATACTAAAATGGATCAAAACGAGTTTTATGTGCGACCCAATGATCAATTGGAGGGTCCACTAATATTAATTATATTCCTAAACTAATTAGGATTAATTATAATCTTTTATAAGTTTCTAAAAGATGTTAACTATTTTTTTTTGAAAGATAAAGATCAAAGAGTTTGAAATTGAATAAAACTTTCCTTTTTTAAGTCTTAATTCTATTCGAATTGAAAGATGTTCAAATTCAGTCAGTTATTATTTTTGTGCCTCATAATTTTTATCCAGAATCTTATATGGTTGGATAGATCTTGAAATTATCTTTCCAATGATATATTATAATATTAACTCCGATCTATAACAAAAAAGATATGAAAGAAATACGAAACTCTATCCAAAACTGACACCCTCCACTATTTCGGCCATATCTTTTATTCTACAAAATATTTTAATCTTATTCTTATACTGTTGGAAAGTAGACTTCAAGATCTTTCCAACGACATATTATATATATATATATATATATATATATATATATATATATATATATATATATATATATATATATATATATATATACCTTATTTGAACTTCTAGATCAAAAGTTATGATAAAAAAAATCCGTAAAAATTTATTTTTATCACGACGCGATAATTCTATCGCGCCGCGATAATCTTATCGCACCAAATAGTCCTTATCTTGCCTTGTCAAAAGGAATTTTATTGTGATTCGAATTTTAACTATTTTCTAATAGTTTTCGGTTGTTTTTCTTTATAAATAGGGTCTTTTTTTCTCCGTTTTTACTCAATAACAATCATCAACAATCATCTATTCTCCTTTCTCTATAAGCTAGAAGCTTATTCTTTCTCCCTCTTTCTAAGTATTGCCTTTTCAAATACAATATTTGTCCATCAAGAGACTTAGACACACCTAACCAAGCTCAAAGTTGCCTTCGCCCTAGACGTGAAAAGTTGATAATTTCCGAGGGTTTGATCCCAACCCTTATTTTAATTCTTTGATTAGATTCACTGTCTAATATTTTTATTCAAATTACTAATCTATGTATTGTTTTGATAGAAAGAGCACGAGGCGACAAAGTAAGTTATTTTATTGCTCTATATCTTTAGAAAGCATGCTTATATTATTTTAATTCCTAGTATCATGTTAGGATGTTATTTATTGCTTTCTAGTATCATGCTTAGGTTGCTTCTTATTTTCTTCTATCATGTAGTATCATGTTAGGGCTAAAGCTTTGATTTTTAATGCTTAGTGACATGCTAGGATTCGTTATTAATCATGTTAGTATCATGCCTAGAATCTTGTTAATAATATGTTTTGATGAGGATATTATTATGATTATTGTTGTTATTATGTTGCTTGATATATTATTAGTATTGCTTGATCACGCCCTCTCTTGCAGGATTAAAGGGAATTTGTATGTGAAACCACACTTAATAAGATAATTAATAATTTATTTAGGCTAATGGGATTTTAATTCAAGTGATCGCCAATAATATATTTATTTTTGTATTAATATTCAACAACAATAGATTAAATAGGTTTAGGGTTAACCTAATGATTTTATGTTAATCAGAAAGAGGACATGAATATGAGAAGAATAAAGTAGAGGCCTATTTAGGGCAAGTTCAATCTCTTTTAGGTTGGATTTGTACCTTCATCCCCGAATATCCAGTCATGGTTCAGGACCACTATGGAGTTAGCGGTCTCATGGATCGTAAAAGGGTGTATGTAAAACCCCGTATTTTTATACGTATTTTATTTAAAATATATATTTAATAAGGGTATTTAAATAATTTTAGTATTTTGATTATGATGTTTTAATTATTTATCCCATGTAAGTTGGGAATATTTTACTAAAGGAAAGTTTGTTTAATTAATTATTAAATAGAAGTTGGGGTTTTATTTTAAGAAATTATTATTTTTAACAAGTTTATTAGGGAAGGGATTAGGAAAAACTAAAGGAGGAAAGTTTAGGGTAAAAGGGGTGATAGAGAAGGGGATAAATATCCCTCTTATGAGGCAATTCAACTTTGCCCAGAGTGGAGAAAACCCAAGGTAAACTTCTCTCCCTTTTCTCTTTATTTTCTTCTTTCTTTTTCTTTTTCTCTCTTCTTCCCTTCCCCTTCTTGTTGCGCACCACCACCACCAGCAACCACCACCACCGGTGGGCCGCCAACCACCAGCACTAGCCGGCAGCAGCGGCGACCACTGGCGCTGGCAGCAGCCGGCAGTGGCGCCGGCCTGCTATCGGCAGTCACACCCTTCGAAAAAAAAAAGTTTTAAAAATCAAGTCTTTCTTACCCAAATCTAATCTAAGCTTTAATCTAATTGTAAATTATGAGTTTGGAGATTTAATTTTGATGTTTGGTTATTGTAATTATGTTAATTAATTTTCAGATTTGGTTTTTAATTAAAAAGCCCCAATTTTTGAAACCCTAGGTTCTTGATTCATGAGTTATTGAAGGATTATGATGTATAATGGGGTAGAACTTTGTTTTAAGTGTTTTAAAACTTAATTACATCAAGTTTTAAGTATAATAAAGTGCTGGAATTTTATGTAGGACACTTAATATTATGTTTCTTGAAGAAATTTTAATTACCCATTAATTGGGACTTAATTATGGTGTTTTAAATATAATTTCATCTTACTTTAACTAAATTATGAGGGGTTTTAAAATAGTATATATTGCTAGAAATTTGTTTAGAGTGGATATTAATACTCTATTATGAATTTAATGTGTAAGAGACTTTAAAGTAAGCAATTTCTACTAGTCGTGGCAATTTTAATATCGTACTCAAGTTACGTACGCGTACTTAGCATATTTTGATGATGTAGAATCATGCTAGGCTTGATTTGAATCAATTACAAGTAGTATCATGCTAAGGTTTATGTATGGGATTGTGAATTAATGGTGTTGGTGATTGAATTGTGAAGCATGAATTATTTGTGATGGTTTATGGATTGGAAATTATATTTTGGGCATGTTGTGTTTGAACCACACTTTTATTTATGGCATGTTAGAATGCATGATTAATTAAACTACATGTTTAATTATGTTTGGAATATTGAAAAGGAATTTAATTATGGTTTAAATAGTTTTTATTGATGCTTTAAGCATGAGGAATGAGCTATATAAGTGTCTATGTACACAAGGAATAAATTGTATGTTGGTGCCTTTGTGCACTTAAGATGTTTTTAACACCGAGGGATAGGATTTTTGGCGCATTATGCGTTTAAGGTGTCTTTGACACTGAGATAGAATTAAAAAAGGGTTCAACATTAAATAATATGTGGTCACTAATTATTCAAGAATTAATTTGGTATGTTTGGTTGATTGAATAATTATTGTTGATTGTTTTATTATGCTTTGAGAGTCATCACCAATTCCAATAAAAGGTAAATAACGTAAAGTGAAAGAGATTACGCACCAAAACTCTTGGAACGTATATACCTTAAGTATGAACAATGGGGGGAGTTATGGGGTTTTATATTTAATCATAACTTCAAATGGAGTACAGGACGTTGTACATTCCTTTTTATTTATTATTATGCGCAGGAATTCCGCCACCTTTGAGTGGTTTTGTCGTTGGCATGGTTAGCTCCCGTGTTAGTTAACCTCAATTTATTGGGGGAGGATAGTTGGAAACCCGTTCGATGCGTAATCAACGCTAAATGAATTATTTAGTGTCTAGTCATTGTGTTTTGTTGATTGATGTGTGTGCTTGTAAACAGGTGCAATGAGGTAAGTGTGTTGATAGGTGAAAGCATGTTAGTGTGTTTAATTTACGCTTATGTACTCTGCTTTGTTGATTGTGTGTGTTTGTGTGTTTGGCCATGTCTTTACCTTGGCCCTATGATGACCCATTTTTAATGGAGAGTAGT